GGGAACTCGGCATTGGAATATTGACGGGACATGTCACCGAGGATGGTACTATTCTGATAGCATGTCGAAATTATAGGGAGTTAGGTACAAAGGGAAAAAAATAATAAAGACTTAATAATATTCTATAATGAGATGATATGAAGTGATTTGAAAGACAAAATAGTAATCCCTATTTTTACTAAATCGGGGACTCCTAAAATATGGAAACAAATCATGAAATATAATAAAATAGGGTGTAGAAAATCAGAATCCAAACATGTTTCCGTTTTTATTTCCTATTAATTAGGATTGATTAGGATTGATTGTGATTGATTAGAATTGATTGTGATTAGGATTGATTAGTCATCGCTTAGTCATCGCTTTGTCATTCTTAGTGATTCTTTCTTGTATAAATACTCACTCATGTAAATTATTCAAAATCAATATACAGAAACTTCTTTTCAATATGGTATCAGAGCGGGTTCGTTCCTACCCTAATTCAAATCTGAAATAACCATCCAAACACTTCCATCACCGTCAAACACCTCCTAAACACCTCCTTGAATCTGTCCAACACAGAAACCTAGTCTACTGACCTCCGATCAAGAAAGTGAGGTGACCATTCGACTCAGAAGGATTCGACGAGTCGACCGCCGCTGGACCCATCGCCGTCAACCGCCGCACGCGCCGCCACGCGCCGTCACACGCGCGGCCAGTTTCCGGCGCGTGAGCTCCACGCGCCGCCTTCCCAACGTCTTTTTCCGCCGCGACTTGCACAGATCTTCTCGCCGGCTTCTCCTCTTCCTGTTCCAGAGGTCAGATCAAAAATTTACAAAACTTGATTTTTCATCAACGGTCAACCCTTCTCTTTCTATTCATGGCTTCCTCAAAACACTCTTCCTCTTACTCTGATGGTGTCTTTCTTAGCAAGACTAAGTTTGAACAACTTCAGAGACTTTTGACTCAACCTCCTAAGGCCACTAGTCATGTGGTCCAGCAAGGTACAACTTTCCATGTTGATAGTCAAAATCATTGGATCCTTGATTCTGGAGCCTCTGATCATATGACAGGTAATCTTGGCTTGTTTTGTTCATACACTCCATATTCTGAACCTTCTCGGGTCAAGATCGCCGATGGCAGTTTTTCCCAGATTGCAAGACACGGAACCATTAAACTTTCTGAGCTGATTACTTTGACATCAGTTCTTTATGTTCCTTCTCTGACTTGTAATCTCATTTCTATTAGCAAGCTCACCTCTGAGTTGCATTGCTTTGCTAAATTCTTTCCACATGGTTGTGTTTTTCAGGAACAGGACTCGGAGAGGATGATTGGCAGTGCTAGAGAGGATGGTGGACTTTACTACTTTGAGGAGGATGTGACTCATGAAGCTGTTTTCGTAGAAAAAAACTCTATGTTTCCTTTTGATTCATGTAATGATGTTATGATGTGGCATCGTAGGCTAGGCCATCCAAATTTTATTTATCTTCAGAAGTTGTTGCCAAACTTATTTATTCATAAAAGTCCAAGTTTGTTTTCTTGTGATATTTGTCAACTTGCCAAGCATACTCGTGCTCATTATCCTTCTAAAGTTCACCATGACTCTTCCCCATTTTCCTTAATTCATAGTGACATATGGGGTCCAGCCCGTGTTAAAAATATTTCAGGTACTCGATGGTTCATTACCTTCATTGATGACCATTCTCGAGTCTGTTGGGTGTATCTTCTAAAGGATAAGTCCGATGCTGCATCCGTGTTTAAAAAATTTCATGCCATGGTTCAAACCCAATTCCAAGTTGCTATACAAATTCTTCGTACAGATAATGGCAAAGAGTATTTTAACTTTATTCTTGGAGAATATCTTTCCCAACATGGCATCCTTCACCAAAGCTCGTGTCCTGACACACCCCAACAAAACGGAGTTGCGGAAAGAAAAAACCGACATCTCCTTGAAGTTGCTCGGGCTCTTATGTTTACCACGAGTGTTCCTAAATATCTTTGGGGAGAGGCAGTTCTCACTGCCTCGTATCTGATAAATCGAATGCCATCTCGCATTCTGAAATTTCAGTCTCCTCTTTCTAGTCTTGTTCGTATCTTCCCTTCCTTCCGAGGTGTCTCCTCTTTACCTCTCAAGTTATTTGGTTGCGTTGCATTTGTCCATATTCCCTCCCATCAACGGTCTAAGCTTGATCCTAAGTCTCTCCAGTGTGTCTTTATTGGTTATTCTCCTACTCAACGTGGCTATAAATGTTATTCACCCTCTCTTCGTAAGGTCTTTGTCTCTATGGATGTCACTTTTTCTGAAAATGACCATTTCTTCCCCTCGACTTCTCTTCAGGGGGAGATAGGAGTAGATGAAGATCAGTCATGGGAACCTACTGGTGCCACGGTATTACCTCTAATTTTGGAAACAGGGGGAGCTACAGAATCCTCACCATCAGGAGCCTCCTCAAAATGGGGACAAGTTTATAGCAGGCGAAAGCCTCCTCAAAGTGTGAATAACCCAGAGCCTCTACACTGCCAGAATTCTGAACCATGTTCTAGTTCCAACACCCCAATACTTGAGTGTCATGGTGAAAATGATCTACACTTGCCCATTGCTCTCAGAAAAGGTACTCGATCTTGTACTACTCATCCTATTTCTAATCATATTTCATATGGAAAGTTGTCCCCAGGGTTTCGTGCTTTCAATACTATGTTGGATAGTACAAAGATACCGAGAAATACACATGAGGCTCTCAATGATCAAAAATGGAGGGATGCTGTCTTTGAAGAAATGAATGCTTTAAAAAGAAATGGAACTTGGGAGATAGTGACCCTACCCAAAGGAAAACAGGCAGTAGGATGCAAATGGGTGTTTACAATAAAATTCAATGCAGATAATAGCATCAACAGATACAAGGCAAGATTGGTTGCAAAGGGTTTCACTCAGACTCATGGGATAGATTATCATGAGACTTTTGCTCCGGTTGCTAAAGTCAATACCATCCGAGTTCTCTTATCTCTTGCTGCCAATCTAGATTGGCCTCTGCAACAGTTAGATGTGAAGAATGCATTCCTAAATGGTGACTTACATGAAGAAGTCTATATGGATCCTCCACCTGGTTTTGAAAAGGGAAATGGATCAGTGTGTAAACTAAAAAAGTCTCTATATGGATTGAAACAGTCTCCCAGAGAATGGTTCGACAAATTCACACAAGCAGTCAAAAGAAGAGGCTTCATTCAAGCACAGACTGATCATACTCTCTTCCACAAACACTCTAAGGATGGTAAAATTGCTATTCTTATTGTATACGTAGATGATATAATTCTTACAGGTGATGATATTGAGGAATTGAACACCTTGAAGAAATTTCTAGCAGCTCAATTTGAACTCAAAGACCTTGGCACTCTCAAATATTTCCTTGGTATGGAAGTTGCTAGGAGCAAAACAGGCATCACTCTAACACAAAAAAAATATGTTCTAGATCTTTTGTTGGAAACAGGAATGTTAGGGTGTAAACCTGCTGAGACACCTGTGGAACCTAATACCAAGTTAGGTATTGAAGATGGGAATGAGGTGGATAAAGAACAATATCAGCGATTGGTTGGTAAACTAATCTACTTATCTCATACGCGTCCTGACATTGCCTTTGCGGTGAGTATGATTAGTCAATTCATGCACTCACCCAAGGAGAAGCATCTTAGTGCAGTCTATAGGGTGCTTAGATACCTCAAGAATACTCCAGGAAGAGGATTATTCTTTAAAAAGGGGTATAAAAGGACAATTGAAATCTACACTGATGCAGATTGGGCAGGCTCATCAGTAGACAGGAGATCTACATCAGGCTATTGCACCTATGTGTGGGGAAATCTTGTTACTTGGAGAAGCAAAAAGCAAACAGTGGTTGCTAGAAGTAGCGCTGAAGCAGAATTTCGAGCTTTATCTCATGGAGTTTGTGAAGGAATCTGGTTGAGAAGACTTCTTCAAGAGTTGAAGATTTCATATTCCCTACCAATAAAACTATATTGTGACAACAAGGCAGCTGTTAGCATTGCTCAAAATCCTGTGCATCATGATCGAACAAAGCACGTGGAAGTTGATCGTCACTTCATCAAAGAAAAATTAGATGATGGAAGTGTGCGTTTGATATATGTTCCAACCAAAGAGCAAACGGCAGATATCCTTACCAAGGGCCTACACCGTCCAGCATTCGAAGACTTGATTGGCAAGTTGGGAATGATCAATATTTACCTCCCAACTTGAGGGGGAGTGTAGAAAATCAGAATCCAAACATGTTTCCGTTTTTATTTCCTATTAATTAGGATTGATTATGATTGATTAGGATTGATTGTGATTGATTAGAATTGATTGTGATTAGGATTGATTAGTCATCGCTTAGTCATCGCTTTGTCATTCTTAGCGATTCTTTCTTGTATAAATACTCACTCATGTAAATTATTCAAAATCAATATACAGAAACTTCTTTTCAATATAGGGAAACAATTCCCAAGAGATAATCTAAGATAAACTATTTGATTATAATTCCCAACAAATCACGAAATATAATACAATAGATAAACTATTTTAAATTATAATCATAATATTATACGAAATCTTCTAGATATTCTAACAGAACAATAGAACCATGACCTAGAGGCTTGACCGATTCAATGTCTGATTTGATTTCAAAAGCATTGGCTGCTGGTGACTTGCGTTTGAATGTAGCTCTTGATAACATGTAAATTGAGGTGAAAGTGGGCAGGACAATGTGCATCAAGTTTTAGACACAAATCTAAGTGATTAAATTTATGTTTATAGGTAAAGCAAGTATTATAAGCATGCACAAAATTAAGCCCAGCTCATTGCCCAATAGCATATTCTTTCATATTCTCTAGCATTCTCCATATTGTATATCTCACATTTCCTTTTTTCAATTTATTATTTTCCTAACTTTTTGAAGAATATTATCATATATGATTTTAATATTTTATAACTAATGTGTCTTTAATGCATGTGTACCTTTTTCGGTTTTTACTGGAAGGTGAGAGCTGCGTCAGTTACATGTTTTGCTGGTATGACTTCTTCTGTGTTCGTCTCTTTCACCAAGGAGAAGCAGGGCTTCATTTTGTCGTCTTTAGTAAGTTTTGATATAGTGCATGCTCAATGCTATGTCTAATTCCTGTGTTGTGCTGAATTAACGGATATGCTTTCTTTCTTGCAAACATTTTGTAGGTCCATGCTGCTGAACATGATGACGGGCCTGCGGTGAGGTCTGCTGCTTGTAGAGCAATTGGTATCATTTCTTGTTTTCCACAAGTGTGTCAAAGGTTATACTGGAACTTGTAGTAGTGTGAATGTTATGATATCTTATATAAATCTTTTGTATCGGATTCATCAGGGTAAAACTAAAAAGTTCTATAATCTCTGTAGTGCAGAGGTACTTGACATGTTCATCCATGCTGTTGAGATTAACACTCGTGATGCCCTAATCTCAGTAAGATCAGTTTGAGTTTAAACCCCATACATCGTCATACATTTTTTTGCTACTAAAGCAGGAATTCAGAGTTTTTCTTACTTCAGGTGAGGATAACAGCTTCATGGGCATTGGCAAATATATGTGATGCTATTCGTCACTGTGTTAGCATTCTTCCCTTCAGGCATATGGGTGAGTTTAATTTGAAGACCGTGACTGAATAGTAAACCATTTGGTGTCAATTCTATATTTCAAATTTCTCCTCTTGGTAATCTCTTTATATTCTTCCTTTCTTTTATTTTAATTTTTGTTGCAGGTTCAAACTCCAACCCTCAGTTGATTGTATCATTGAGTGAATGTGCTTTGCGTCTTACTGAGGACGGAGACAAGGTAGGTTTGATTTATGTTCATAATTCATATCTTCTGTGTTGATGAATTATCATTTCACCTGTTGTTCACATGGGATTATTAGGTAAATCTCATACTGATTATTTGATTCCTTTTAATGAAGTTTCCTTTTATTCTTGTTTTATCAATTCTTTCTTTTTCTCATTACTAGGTTAAATCTAATGCTGTAAGGGCTCTTGGGTATATTTCAAGAATCTTTAAATGTTCAGCATCAAGATTTCAAGACATGTCAGTAGACTACCTGGACCGCACGACTGAGGCCTATATCTCTAGTGAGAATCTAATGGTGTCTCAACAGCATTGGCAATTAGATTCTCTGGAAGATTTTCACAGGCTGGAGAGAATAGTTCAGGCATTCATTTCTTGCATTACTACTGGGAATGTTAAGGTAGCATATTTACATTGTTTTAATTTGATTGTTCAGAGTAAGTATGATTTCTTGTTATTAATCCACTTGATCTCTTTTAAACCTTTAGTCTCTGTTTAATAGGTCCAGTGGAATGCTTGTCATGCGGTAGGCAACCTATTCCTTAATGAGACATTAAGTCTGCAGGACATGGACTGGTACATGTTAAAATATTAACATTTGTTAGAATACATCTGTTAGAATGTATAGTCAACTAATTTAAGTTGAATAAATTAGAATAATTAATTACTGATTATTATGAATGCTTTATTGTTTGTTTGCAGGGCTCCAGTTGTGTTTGGTATTCTTCTGCAACTGTTGCGTGATTCATCAAATTATAAGATCAGGATACAAGCTGCAGCTGCATTGTCTGTGCCAGTGTCAGTGCAAGGTAACATTTTTCTTATCATGAATTTCCATCAGTCATTTATTATATTTTTTCTGCTTTCACCTTAGAAGTGAATATGCTTCTCAGTTGCAAAGTTACCTTTTTGGGAAATGCATTTGATTAGTTCTCACAAAAAAGAGGAAGGTATTTGACCTGTTACGAATCTATAATGAACTTAAGTTGGGGCGAGAGTTAAAGTTTCTGCTGAGAAATAAAATTTCAGATTTGTAGATTTACAAAATTGTCAAGAGTTATTGTTAGGAGTTACTGATGGAATGTGCGCTGGGTCCAGATGTATTTTGTACTGCACTGTTGTAACACCCCCAAATTCTTAATAGTTTTTAATAATATAAAATTTCTAAAATCGTAAATAACTGAAATTTAAATTAACCAAATTTGGGAAATGTTACCGCCGCACTTGTACTATGGACAAGTGCAAGGCTAAATTTATTACATTAAAATAAAACCAAAGACTAGTTTAGCTAGAAATATCTAAGTCGTTATCCTCACTGCCCACAGCTAGCCCCATCCTTTGCAAACTGTTTCACCAGAGGGATCATTGCAGCCAAACAAATACAAACACAAACAGTCAGCAAAATTGGTAATCCCAATCCAATATACAAAAAAAAAAAATATAACTCATAATAATCAAATCAAGTAATATAACTCAAAAATTCAAATCAAGTATCAACTCATTATTAATTATATTAATATTTATTTAGTTCATTTAGTGGGAAGAGAACTATGGTATTCCCGGGAAACCCTATTGCCTGTCTACCCAGTGACCCGGGAAACCTTGTTGCCAGCCACGTATAATCAAAATTGGCCATATTAAAATATCAAATCCTAGTGTGCACACCTTTTCCTAAAGTTGCTACTAGTACCCCGGGAAACTCTGTTGCCAGATACCACTTTGGGAAGAACGGAAAACATCATTGTCACATCATGTAATATCGAAGGCATAAAGCCCAAAGGTTGAGTTCATCACTTTCGGGAGTACCATCCCAAAAGCTATCTTCCCACTATTATTTATTACAATCACACACAATCAATAAAATTCAATTTTGTCACAATTCTTATAATTGGAAAATTTCCTCGAATAGTGTTCATAATTTCCACATCAATTTAATCAGGAATTTAATCAGGAGTATAATTTTCAAATTCAATTTTTCAAGAATAGCATTTTTCAAATCCGTTATCCAAGAATATCATAATTTTCATCTTCAATATCTACCAGAGTAAAACCCAAATCCAATCATCATATCATAATTTTCCAAATCATAATTCAAATATTCACATCTATTAGAGTAAAGCCAAAGTCCAAATAATTAATCCAATTAATTTCTAAAGGTTAAAATAATTTAATTTAAATACCGTAAGGGTTACATATAATATATGAAAACATCCTAAAATTCCCGAAGGATTAAGATTACATTTAACAAATTTAATATAAAATCATCATACTTATTTCAATTATTGAAATTTGAAACTGTAGGTAATATCAATGGTCATTATAATTACGTTAATTATCATTAATATATTGTAACGGTCACATTTAAATGAAAATAACTATTCATATTACCAATTAAATGATAACCAATATCACTAACATTCAGTGTCAACCAAATATATCAATGTTTATAACACCACTTTATGCTAAACCCAACATGTCTGGCATGATATAATTATACACATAAGGGTACACACTATTGTTATTATTATTATTATTGTTAATGTTATTAATATTATTTTTCTTGGGTTATTACAACTGTAATACACTCTTAATTTAGTAGTATATATACATGGGGAGGCTGTGCTATAAAAATCATGCCATTAATTGTTCTCTTTCTTCTCTCCTCTCTCTACGTGGTATCATGAGCATACTTCAGTAGGCAACCATCTAGGAAATCTATTTTCCGTAAAAAAAGAAAAAGAGAGAGAGACCTTAGCAGCTGCCTCAGGGAAGGCCAGGGCTATTAGAGGGTTAGGTTAGAAAACCCATATGGATTTTGACCAGATCACGAAACCGTAGGTGTAGAGGCAATATGGCATGGGTTCTGTGTCATAGTAAATTGCTCTCTTTTCAGAGATAGAGAGGGGTGTCTTGCTGGAATTTGGAAAGGCCAGTCATTTTTGTGTCTGCTCTTGGTAACTGGGTGGTGTTTTTTTAGTGAATCTGTTTGTGCTTATGCTGTTTATGGTAAGCCTAATTGTTTTGGTGCTGTTTTTGGTGGTTAACTTCAATTTTCCAACTACACTTCCTGCAAGCTTATTGATTGATATTAAGCTTGACGGGGATGGTGAAAACTATCTCAAGTGGAAATATTTGGTTGAAGTTAGTTTGGGCAGATAGGAAAAGGATACAGAGACTTGCCCAAAGGAACCAAAGTTAGCCGCCTCATGGAATGTGGAGGATAATGTATTCTGGCCTTGTGAATTTTGTTGATAAATGAACACAACTGGTGGTCACACACTTCAAAACAGTGAAGGATTTATGAGATTTTTCTGAAATTTATTCGTGGGAAGTCTAATTTTTTATACTGGAAATATTTCGATGAAAGAAAAACAAGAGGAAGTTGGACTAGTTTGCAAAGTGTAAGAAATATATTGAGGAGCTGACCTCTCCCTTGGCCTGTAGTTCTGTAGAAGAGATGCTGACCCAGCAGAAGAAACTTATAGCCTTTAGTTGGCTTTTCAGACTTGATCAGTCCCACACAATTGGTTGTCACATACTTCAAAACAGTGAAGGGTTTATGAGATATTTCTGAAGTTTATTCGTGGGATGTCTGATATTTTGATACAGGAAATATTTCCATGAAAGCAAAACAAGAGGAAGTTGGACTACTTTGTGAAGTGTAAGAAATATATTGAGGAGCTGAGCTCTCCCTTAGCCTGTAGTTCTGTATAAGAGATGCTGACCCAGCTGAAGAAACTTATAGCCTTCAGTTGGCTTTTCAGACTTGATCACGAATATGAGGTAGTTAGGTCCCAAATTCTATTGAGCAAGCCGGTGTATAATTTGATTGTTGTTTTTCCCAAGTTATGTAATCCTTGAGGAACCTAAATAAATGACATTTGTGATTGCTCTACTCAAGTAGTCTAATATGCAGGTAGAGGAGAATGCAGTGGAGGTAGAGGAGGTTGTGGTGGCAGGGGTAATGGCGGACGCGAAGGCCAGAGTGAAGTGCTATATATGTGGAGAGTTTGAGGATGTGGGTAATGCGGCTTGATTATCACATATTGTCACATATTAGTCTCATTTACCATGGTTTACAAATGTTCAATTCTATAAAGAACTATTTCAACCGAAAAGTTTAACTTGTTAAGTGAAGGCCACATTACTGGTTTATATTGTAAAGAACCAATTCAATCCAAAAGCTTAAGATGTTGGGTGAGGCTACCTTAATGGTTTTATACTTCTCTGACACACCCCCTCACACGAGAGCTCACTGGGCTTGAAGGATGGACAATGCACAGGCTCACCTACTTGTGCTAAGAAATTCCACAAGACTGAATTCATTATTAATTAAATAGAGGGGAGTGAGGATCGGACCTGTGACATGAGGCTCTGATACCATGTAAAGGACCAATTCAACCTAAAGCTTAAGCTGTGGGGTGAGGCTATGTTAATGGTTTTATATTTTTCTAACATATATCATATTTCTGTAAAACGCTATCTCTCACAAGAACCCATTGGGGAAAGGTGGGCAATACAAAGGCCCATGCACGAACTCCACAATATTTAATTATATATTAATAGAATGAGGGCGGTGAGTATTGAACTCGTGATCATTTGGTGACAGAGACTTTGATACCATATAAAGAACTATTTTATTACAAATGCGTAAGTTGTTAGGTGAAGGCCACATTAATGGTTTTATATTATATTTTTCTAACAAATTCTTTTATCAGAAGTTGCAATTCCCATTTTGTGATAATCAGCTTCTGCAGTTTTGATCTGGACACTTTAGTTTGCTTCTTACTTTTTCATGAAATTATTTCCCCCCTAAAAAGAACATAGTAGCTTGAAGTAGAGTAGATATTAGGGAGAGCCTGTCCAATCAACATCTGTATAACTACAAACCTCTATCCCCTTATCTTATATAATAAGCCTCTATATAATATTCCTTCAATATATCAAAATATCCTAACATCATACCTTTTAGAGTCATATGAGGAGTCAAGAAATTGGCTTACTATGCTCGCGACAAATGAAATATCTCGTCTTGTTACTATGAGATAATTTAGGTTCCCAACCAGCTTCCAATAACAACCGGGGTTTGTTAATGCCTCTCCCTATCCTTGTAGAAGTTTGACATTAGGGTTCATTGGTGTATTACTGGGCTTTTATACTGACATGCTAGTTTCTTTCAAGATATCTAAGGCATAATCTCTCTGAGAAATAGAGATGCCATGTCTAGATTGTGCCACTTGGATACCTAAGAAATATAAGATCTTACTAAGATCCTTAGTTTGAAATAGTTTGAATAAGTGTTGTTTAAGTTGTTTAATACCAACTCGATCACTGCCAACAATGACAATGTCATCCACACAAACAAGGAGATATATGCAATGGTCAGGAGAATTATGCCAATAAAAAATAGAATGACTTACCCCTTGAACAATTGAACTAAAGGAGCTGAAAAGCCCGAGGTGACTATTTTAGGCCATACAGTGATTTGTAGAGCTTGCATACCAACTCAAATTCCCCCTAAGTAGCCAAGCGAGGTAGTTGCTCTATGTAAATCTCCTCCTGTAAATCACCATGTATAAAGGTATTTTTGATGTCTAATTGATGGAGTGGCTAGTGACGAACAACAACCAGGGCAAGAAACAACTGAACATTGGCCATTACAGCAATCGGAGAGTAGGTGTCATTGAAATCACTTCCTAAGATGAGTGTAACCTTTGGCGACCAAACTAACCTTCAATCAGTCAATTGTGCCATTAAGACCAACTTTAATTGAGAATACCCAGCAGAAACCAACAATGAATTTTTCTGGAGGCGCAAGAACAAGATCTCATGTGCCATTAAAGTGTAAGGCAAACATCTCATCAATCATAGTTTGGCATCATGTTGGATGTGATAATGTTTCACTTGTGGCCGTAGAAATGGAGACAAAGAAAATAATAGAAACAAAGGTTGTGATGAAAGGCACCAGAGTCAAGTATCCAACGATTATTACTATTAACATGAAAGGTAGTACCTTTTTGGGCCACATTGTTGGTTGCCATGCTGGGTTGGGTACTGGTTGTAGAAAAACTATCAAAGGAAGTTGTAAGAGAAGGAAGATATGACCTTTTGACCAAGAAAATAAAGCACCTGCTTTTTCAGTTTTGATATCTGAATTAGGACTAGGAGGAGCTGACAAGAAAAATGAATTGGCGGCGCATTGATTGGAGCATCGGAAGGAGGCCACATGGACTTCATGCGCCCAAAGAGGAGTGCGCATGTGGCAGTGCATGGCTATGATTTTGATGGCGGCACCCGATGGGATGGCCATACGATGGATTTTGCAATGACTTGTGGCCTCACCTTGGTGGTTGGGGCTCCGCAGAGGTGACTTTCAGCCTTGAGAGTGGCTGGACATGCTTTCTATGATGGTGTTCTGCCTAATTTTCAATATTGACGTGACTTTGTTTGGACAGTTACGGGATTGCATGAGCTCTTGATACCATGTAAAAATTGTGTATTGAGATATATTTCTTAATGAGAAGGGGTTACAATATATATAGATAGCCCTATAAGTGAAATGGGAAATCAATAATATCAAAAAAAATCAATTCTAACTAAGGAAATATTGAAGCTGATTCTAATTTATTCCTATGAATTAGGGATGTGATATTTATCCTAAATAATACAAGGATTTCCTATAAATTGAATTTTTTTAATTATTTCTTAATTTACTTAGTGGTCGTAAATTTTTTTCCCAAGCCTTAGGAATAATTTATTTCTCCAAAAATTAGTATATAAAAGGCAAACCTCGAAGCACATGACTCCCCAACTTGCAAGGATAAGGATGAGGGTTGATTGTACGCAGCCATGCCTTTGGATTTTTTCGAAGAGACTGTTTCTCATACTCGAATCTGTGACCATCAGATCACGGCTGCTCCAAGACTTGCCCTCATTTCTCCAAAAATCAGTATAATATAACAAATTTAAATGAATATTGTATATTTTCGAATAAAGGGTATTTTTGTAAAAAAATTGTCAATTTTTGTCATATCTAGTGTTATATAGTGCATCAATAAAGTTAGGATAATATTATCTTATACAATAAAATATCTTATACGATGTCTCACAAAACAAAGTGTAATTTTGTAGATGGCAGAATTGCAGATTGATTGAGAGAGAAGAAAATCAGAGAATTTTTGGAAGGAAGCAATTTTCTTTTTGTTTATTCACCCGTTGGGCCTTTTATAACATGGATTTGAATAACACACAGTATAGTATTGGTGATTGATATCAATTAGGAAAAATTGATATTAATCTAATCATTTTATTAAACAACACTAATAAAATGCTATTTGATACTACGCATAGTCCTTGGTGCCTAACAAAAACACTGCATAGTATTAAAAATTCATCATGCATTATATAATAAGGCGTTTTACTATAAGATCACATACTATCTAGCCTTACCTATAATGTGTACTGAATGGGCCCTTATAAAATATAATCTAGTATACATAAACCCTAATTTTTACATACTTCTTTTACTTATGCTCAAACTGTATTGGCTTCTGATTACTTTTCCTTCATTCAAACAAAATTTTAATTTAAAGCCTTCATCTGAATATAACATGTTCTCTAATGTTTTCACAGGTTATGGTAGATCCTTCTCAGACATTGTGCAATGTGTTGTGCATGTAATGGAGAATATAGATCAGGACCAAATCTCAGGGCCGTCAAATTTCAAATATAGGGTTTCATTACAAAAACAGGTCATACTTCATATTCATCAATGCCAAGTGGAGTTGATCATTTTGAAGTGGTTAAATGAAATACACATAAGATTCTGGGTGCTGTGATTTAAACTATATAGCATTATAGATCTAGGTATATTGTTTTCACATTATCTTGTTTTCTGGCAACATTTAGTACCTGTTTGGATCTTTTTTTTTAAGCTAGAAGCTATTTATAAGCATAAGTTAGGTCAAACAGGTTTTGAGAAAAACTCTTACAATGAAAAACTCTTTTTTTTATAATGAAGAAAAAAGCTAAAAGCTCCTAGGAGGAGATTTTTTTTAAGCTCTTATCTACTTTTCTTGAATTGTGTGCATTTTTTTTTAATTGAAGAGTTATAAAGATAGAGAGAGATAATTTTCTTGAAATATGTGCTTTTAAGTAATTTTTAAGCTAAAATTTTTATGTATTACCAAACAACTTTTAGCTCTTTTTTTTAAGGTTTTTTTTTTAGCTTTAGCTTATAAATAGCTTCTAGCTTAAAAAAGAAAGGATCCAAATATGCTCTTAGGAGGCTTCTGCTACAAATTTTGGAATGTGATGACTTGTAATAGCGGATACATACTATTTATATTCAACGTATCAAGATTTGTTTTATAATTTAAGCTCTTATAATTTCATAAGAAACAGATAAATGAAATATTACTATATTTGACTTATCTTTTGTTTTGAAAACTTGAAGGTACTATATTCAAAGTTTAAATTTTGAACAAACTTACATGGTATTCTTATCTTTATTTTTATCTAATTTTTTGTGGTACTAAATGATGGAATTATGACATTATTTTGTTGGTCTGCTTTTGAATGTTGTTGCCTAACTGAATTCCTCATTTTCTTCTTGCAGCTTACATTGACATTGTTACATGTTCTACGCTTTACCTCAAGCTCAAATGATCAACTTTTGAAAGATTTTATAGCGAAGGTAAGTATTTTATTGTGCATGAAAAAGATTGGCAATGATCCGGGAAAGTGAATTTTTTTTTATCACAATGGCTATCGTCCACCAACAATAAAGTGATAATCAGTTATACTTAATAATCAAAGTATGGAGAAATGGAGAATATAATTCCATCTCTTGATGTGTACAATATATAGCCAATGTAGAATACAGATCTCAGCTGTTTGTTTCTGGGGTACTCTTCTAGTCACGAAGGTTACAAATGGCTCTGTCCTAATGGTAGACTTTTATATCAAAGGATGTCCTATTCAACCAATTTCGTTTTTCTAATTCCTCGCGGTTTCAATCTACTTCCACTTCCCTTGCCACCAACAACTCATCACATCCTAGTTATTCCATTTCTTTAGTTTCCACTTCTTCCTCCAGACCTCCACAGTCACCATCCTCTCCTTCATTACCACCATCTTCCTTTGAGTCCCACTACTAAACCACATCCTATGCAAACCAGGTCCAAAACCACCATTCCTTCTGTCCTTCTAACCCAGATGGAGCCAACTACTGCTAAACCCCTTCCCCGATGGTTAAGCTGATCACAATCAGAATTGTGCTCTTGCTTGCCATTTCTAACAAATGGTCTCTAAACAGTTGGATGCCAGTAATGCATTTCTTAATGGGGTTCTAGCTAGATGAGGAAGTATACATGATTCAGCCTCCTAGGTTTGAGGAAAATGATAAGACACTGGTTTGCAGGTTGCAATACTCCCTCTTACTGCCTAAATGTTCTTGTTTATGTTGATGATATTATTGTCAACTGCAGTTCTCCACAGCACCGTTTCTCTCTCACATAACCCTAAATTGCACTCTTGAACAAAACATATGGAGTTGGAGCTGTTTTTTGTTCAGGAAAAGGTTCTAGCTAAGAGTCTGATTGTTCATCACATCTCTGCTCAAGATCAGTTGGTCATATGTTTAACGAGGCCTTCTCTACCTCTTGATTTTGTGCCTTTAAATTTTGTGGCTTATGTGACAAACTCAAAGTCTTGACCTTGAATTTGAGTGGGGAATATTAGAATATTATGTATATAATATTATTGTGCACTATTTGTAGGCTGGTACTTAATAATTTCTGTTAGTAACTGTTGAGATGTATAAAACTATTAATGTAACCTCACCCAACAGCTTAAACTTTTGGGTTGAATTGGTTCTTTATATGGTATCAGAGCTTCGGTGTACCGAGTTCGATCCTCACCGTCTCCCACTTTCTTTCTAGTGAAATTTCTTTCTTCGCACAGGTAGGTGGGCCTGTGTATCGTCCACCCTTCAAGCCCAGTAGGCTCTCGTGTGAGAGGGCGTGTTGAGATATATAAAACTATTAATGTAACCTCATCCAACAACTTAAGCTTTTGGGTTGAATTGGTTCTTTACAGTAACCTTGCTATTCTCTACTAGTTTCTGTTGGTAGTTAGGACTCATGCTCAGTCAGACTCTTGCAGAGTTAGTTACAGTCTTGCTAAGTCAAAGAGTTAGTTATAGTCTTGAAGAGTTAGTCATAGCCTTTCGGATACTACTATAAATATCTGAGTTTTAACAATTAAAATATTTTTCAGTTGCATCAATCAGAATATTCAGAGAATAGATCTCTGTTCTTTCTTTCGTTTTCCATCATTTTCCCTTTGTAGGTTATTAATTTTTATGGTCTAAGAGATGGTGTAGATATAGTAGTTGTGTGTGCGTGTGTTTTATTTAGTTTTATTGTATACAGCGTACTATAGATCTTAGCATATTACAGCTGTAATATGTACTCTCATACTACACTTTGTACAACAGTTTATACACACGTCTCTTTGCCTTGTAATCAATGATAATTGTGTACAGTATTATTCATCTAAATATTCACGCAAACAGTTTTAATAACTAGATTAAAGAATTTGTTAAGTAGTATATCCCAAAGTTTGTCTTGTCTTGTACATGTGGCATTCTGGACAAAAAGTGATAACTGCTTTTTGTCACCTGTCCTTGCTGTGTTTTTACTGTGCTGCCATGCATTTGCAATGTCAGTTTGTATTTTGATTGGCCTAATTGCATGCAGATCATAGGATTTTGTCTGTTCAAATAATCTTTACATTTTGATGGAAATTTCCCGTGACTGAATTTTCCTTCTATTTGATTTATGTAAAGAAAGCATCGATCCTTGAAGATTGGTTCAAGGGACTATGCTCATCTTGTGATGATGGCATGCTTGATGTTCAAGATAAGTCCATTGCAGACCAAAAGAAAGTGGTGATATCCAGCGCAATGCAATCGTTGATAGAAGTGTACAAAGAAAATCAACTGGAAGCAATCGCTCAGAAGTTTGAGGAATTGATGAACAATCTATGAAGGTGGAGTTGTAAAATGACAGTGGTTAATATAATTTGTTTACAGGCCTACCAATCAATATTTTACCATACAATTTGTTTACAGGCCCACCAATCAAGATAAGTCTATGAAGGTGGAGTTGTAAAATTACAGTGGTTCATATATGTAGGCCACGGGAGCCATGCGCAAAAGATCGTGTCGAGTCTGGAGATATTTATTTAAAAAAGCAATTTATGGGTGGATTGACTATACCAATGGTAGAAGAGATTGGTTTACTATAAACAAGAGGATCGGACTGTGACTTAATATTTCTGGTTTGTGGAAGAGTAACGGATTTTCGAAAATTTATTATTGTTATACCTCATTCAGTTTCTGTAATGATGAAAATCAATACTGTTAACCTACAGAAATGCTAGAGCAATCTGGAAATAGAAATTTCACATGGGATATGAAAGTTTTAGGATGTTGAGAAAAAAAAAATTGAGAGAAAAGTTGGGAAATGAATAGTTGAATGAGGTTGTGTAAAATTTGAGGAATTTTATTTGTGAATGCAACATTACTAAGTGAATTCTAACTTTGGAGGAAAAAGTAACCTCACTAAATTATGAGAACATGAAACGGTGATACCATTATTGAATAATTAATGCATAACAAATTATGCTTTCGTTAGAGTGTTTTTTTATTTTTTATTTTTTTCCATCAAGTGAAATTTCTCACTTTAAATGAGTCAGATCCATTAATACATGTGTGTGTGTATATATATATATATATATATATATATATATATATATATATATATATATATATAAGCATTCCTAAACAATAAGAAAATAAGATACATTAAAGCAGATATCTAAAAAATGCTAGAATTTATAATTACCGTCACATATCACTTGCTTTTTGCATTTTTAATGTTGTTCCCTTGCTTTAAATATAGTGAGATGTTTTGCGAAATAGTGAGCAAATATTAGCTTGTATACCTCATATTAGAACATCCAAGAAAATAAATCACCTAAAATTGGGATAGACATTGGTTACATATTGGACATACTAATAAGCTGAGGACAAGCTTAATCCTTAGCCCAAAATAAATATGTTGGTTACCCGAATAAATAATTACTGATTAGATATTGAACCTGACATAAAAGAATGTGGCTTATATATATAGGGTTTGTTTTTTTGCAGTCACCGCAGATAAGTCATTTGCAGTAAGTCCAATATGACGTCGTTTTGGGGTGGAAATCATGGTGTTTTTGTAATTTTAATTTATTTCAGGGTTATTATAGTCTTTATAATTATAATTTTTTCATTTTTCAATCTCAAAACGACGTCGTTTTGGAAGTAAATACATATAACTTATCTGCAGTAACTGCACAAATGTTTTTCTGATATATATATAAATGAAATTTAATTCTACATACTATAATATAAAATGGAATTTTACACATAATCGCAATCATTATTCTTTCACACCTCCAAATGTGTGCTATTACATAAGAACATGGGTTGAGTTTTTTTCTTAAAATAAATCTTTTCTCAAACTTTTCCTTCAATATGATTATTTAGGGTTGACAATGTTAATAATAAATTGCTTAAACTCACTAGAGGAGAGTAAATTGTGGTAACTTATTTTGCAATAAACATTTACCCCTTAACTTGAAATAAATAAAATCAACGGAATTTATCAAGAATGAATTTTAAACCTTATCTACCCTTAAAACAAAACAGAATCGAAGTCTAAAACGCAACAAAGACTAAATCAAATGTTGAAATTAAAGAGTTCAAGGATTAGAAGATCAAACATTATGATTTAGCTTTGTTCACTCTCAAACCACACAAGGGCTACATCAAGACAGTTGTCGCACGTTCAATAAATTGAGATCTTCCAACCAGTGATTGAGAAACTGTACTACAATGGAGTTTTACAAAAATATTGACCAATCTTGGTCACTCTCTCAACCTATACACAATACACCTATAGGATCTCTCCTTTCACCAAAAATAACTTCTAGTACAAATCCAAATCAAAACAAATCAAGAACAACATCTTTTCAATCCAATAGAAATAGAAAATCAATATTGATCAAACCAAATACAATATGGGCTGGCCAAAGTGTACTGAGCCAAATCACACACGGTTGAAGCGAGAAGGCTTTTGGGTAATCTGTCTTTTGGGCTGGTGGTTGTGGATGATGATAAGCGGACTCTAGTTCTCCTTCAGCGCGTTGACTCAGGCTGGGGGTACCTGCAATGACACTCCGACGCTCAAGTCAATATCAATGGCATGTGTATGTGTATTCTTACTGAATTAGATGATAATACTTGAGCATGTACCCTCTGTTTATATAGTGGTTCTGATGCCGCCTTAGGAAGGCGGTATGGCCTCTGATGAGCTGTTCAAAGGCTGCAGGTTCTGATAGTGCTTTAATAGCCTTATCTCTTGATGTCAGGCTACCTTAATAGAGTGGTGGCAAGCTGGTGTTGTCTTCTTTTACTTGTTCAAAGGCGCGGTGGACCTTTATTAGTTCCTGAGCTTGCTTCCTTAACTCTGAAATTATGTTAAAGGGCGGTTACAAGCGCGATGGTGGCATCGTGCCCTGTTATGCGCGATGTAAGCCATCCCGCCCCACTTTGGGCCTTGTGGGTTTAGGCCTTGTTCTATGTATTTGAGCCTCTGATGGGCCTATCATATTTTATCCAGATCAGTTGCCCCCTAGCTCGCAGTTTTGGTATGTGGCAAAGCTGAGAGATATAGATATTTTTTATGCGCGATGTGTTTCTTTGGCGCGTTCACTCGATGTCGTAATAATCATGCCGGAAAATCATCATTACTTAGCCGCTTAAAAACGGTTGATTAGATGTTTAACTGTCAGATGCATTTAATGCCACCGTAATTACGTGGGTGCTTAATGACAATTGTGGGCTGTTTTAAGATTTAAACATTTTACCTTCCTTCCATGTTTCCTCCTTTTTATCCGTTTAACTCAACACATTTTAACCTTTTGGGTTGCTTGCAGTATCTTTTCATATTTGTACTGAGCTACTTAACTTGGAGGGAAATCACTCGAAGCACTCACCGTAGCTGTGATAACCTCTCTTCCTCTAAATTCAATTTATGATCTTCCCTTATGGTGCCGACACGTCCTATTCCCCCTTTGTTCATTCGAAGTATATATCTCAGGTATGTTCTTTCTTCGATTTTTATCCTTTGTGTTCTGCTTTGTTTGTTTGTGTTTTCTGGCATTCGAGCTTTGGGTATGTCTGATAATCGTAAATTTGTGAATTTTATCAGATAGCCGAACGGTCTGGCTCTTCCAGTCCTCCACCCAGGTCCTTACCTAGGTCGAGGTCTTTAAGAACCTGGGAATCGTGGCTTATTTGTAAGTATGCTACCCCTTGGAAGAAAGTGATTTTGAACGATAACTGTACGTCTTCTATTCGACGGTTTGAAATAGGTACTTCCTCTCGTGAACCTAAGTGTGGGATAACCAGAACTTTGTCGCAACAAAGTTCGTCCCTTTTCCCAAAAGTTCCTTTTAAAATGACCAGTCCTATTTTTATATCGAGCGATTCTACCTCAAAATCTGATTGTAATCGTAAGTCTTTTAATACCTTACACTCTAACTCTTCCCTTTCAATTTCATCGCGCGATACTTCCCCTTCTATCGTGCAGAATTGACCTACCAAAGGATTCCAAGCCCCTTGCCTTTAAATGTTATTTACCCAGCTGGGTACCCATATAAGAAAAGGAATTTTGACAATTTTAAATCTGCATTTGCTGTCTCTTCTTCTTCTGACTCTTCTTCCTCTACTAATTCCTCCTTTCCTAAACCAGATTTTATCTCGCCTAAAAATAAAGAAATTATGACGAGGTGCTAGTGATGCAAAGAAAAAGCAAAAGCTTAACCCGGACACAGAGAAAAAATAACAGCTTGATCCCGAAGCAACAGGACCGGTCAAGCGTAATATTCGGGATGAAGAATCTCTAAACTGGGTATCTGACATCGTTTTGGATACTGCCTCAATATATAGCTCTTCAAAAGAATTGGCGCAATTGAAGGCAACCATCCATGTTACCCCTGGGAAATCTCATGACGACAAGTGGGAGGTAGATGTCGTTCCTTTAAATGAACGCGTATGTTTTGCGCGCGCTGAAGGATATTCCAGACATTTCATGATGATGTATGCCCACTTCTTCTTTACGTTAGGAGTTCGTCTACCTTTTTCAGCCATTGTCTGTAGGTTGCTGGCGCATATTAATGTGGCGCCCTCACAATTATCTCCAAACGCTTGGGGTTCATACAAGTATACGAGATGGTTTGTAATGCCTATAATCTATTTCAATCCCTATAGTCTTTTTTATGTCTGTTTAGTGTTATGGGGTCGCGTTCTAGCTGGGTCTCTTTCAGAGGAAAGGATAAATTTAAGTTATGTGCTTCCTATCAAAGGAAGGTTCACAAATGGTCCCCAGACTACATCAAAATTCTACCCGCAAAAGATTCCTAAGCATTTTTCTTGAAAAAAGAAGATAATTCCCCCGTTATTCCTTTATATTGGACACAACATCCATTAGAGAGTCAAAAGTTGAGCTACAATTTTGATGATTTGAGTGATTATGAGCAACATACTGTGACCATCTTATGCAATATCGCGCGTGAGGCTTCTGATACCGGTTACCTAAGTACTTACACTATTTTAAATGAATATACTGATGATGATATCAGGGCTTGTTTGGGTAAGTTTGTTTCTATTGTTTTAATTTTATCTATCAGAGTCTTTTATATATAACTATTCATTTCTAACACGCACTTTTTGTCCTTTGGTTTTTAGATAGTTCGATGTCTGCCACATTATCCAGACTGCAAGCAATAGCGGCGAGGCGAGCTGCTGAAGATGCCACCCCCTCTGATCCTAATGTGCCACCAATCACTGCTTCTCTAGCTGGTGTCGAATCAAGTTAGGGTGATGATGCACGTTTTGAGTCGCCTGGACCATCAGCAGCTACCCACGTCTCCTCCCCCAAAAAGAAAGAAGTGGTAAAATCACCACGGGGGCAGAAGAGAAAATCTGCAGGGAATGATGAGGGTTTTCCTGAGTTAATCTATTATGTGGATGGTTGGGGGTTTGATGCGGATTTGTACGCGAAAGGAAGGGAGATATGCACCCGAATTGAAGAGTTTCCGATGGACAAATGGCTGACTACATCTGGGAAGCATAGCGTTGCCAACCAGTATATCATGTTTGTGCCTGGTAAGTATCACCATATGTATTTTGTGTGTATAAAACTTGGTTTTGACCTTTTGACGTAACATTTTCTATGTGGCAGGGGCGATTTCTTATCCGAAGGAACGCATCGTGGACCTGAAGGGTGAAAAGGCCATCTTGCGCGCTGAGTTTGAAGAAAAGATGAAAAAGGCTGAACATGATATGGAAAAGTTGGCGAAGGAGTTAAAGGAGTTGAAAGTAAATAATAAAGAATTGAAGACGGAAAAGACCAATCTAACCAAGCGCGTCATGGATCTCGAGGCCGGTGCTGATTTTTGGGAGGAAGAGAAGACT